CCTGGTAAGGAGCACCAGCCTAGCTACGCCCACATACTAAGGGTGATTGACAGATACGAAGGAAGCGCCATGGTGTAATTTGTATGAGTTGTTGCTCTATAACGGAGAGAAATGAATTATTTAAGCAAATTTAATTTTTTACTGTTTCGCTGCTGCTCACGCAGTATAAAGTATTGTAAAATTGTATTGCTATGAGGAAAAAACGGCGAATTCTCGACAGAAAATCTCTTATTGTCGGGCCCAAGTAACGCAAAACTGAATACATATACTAACTTACTTCCTCTACCAGAGCGTTCAGTTCTTTTACACTAATACAAATGTGAGCACGATCATACAACTTTCGCAAACCATTCAAACAAAACGTTTGGTCGATTACTATTAATCCATAAAAGGTTTTTGGTTTCGAGTCTAACCAGGAAGTCACAACATCAATCACTTAAATCGACGTTCTTTTGGGTCCTTTTCGACGACTGGGAAAAGGAAAGTATGTTGGATCTACATTAGAAGGCGGATGACGTAACAATTCGAACCCGCAGTCGTGCAGTGTTTCCTGGTTTGCGAAGACTGTTTGCCGGTGCGTTGCAAAAGAACACCGCGCGCTAAAATAAACGTTTCGCGTCCCCAAAACATCCACAATATTGTCAAGAGCGCGCCCATGGAAGATTCAAAATGTAACCACAAAGAGAGGAAGGGGACTGGATGGGCGGGAGGTGACGGCCATAGCAGGCCTCATGGGCGAGGCTGCGTAATAGACAACTGTGATAAATACCCCCCCCCACACACACACACACACACACACACAACGATAATCCAAGGGATAGTCGTAACGAAACACGAGATGAGAGCTCAGCTTTTTAGATGAATGAAACAAATGCAATTCCTTTATTTGATAACATTGCTCTTCACAATTATTACAACTTAAGCCGCTTTCCCCCCACCCTGCAGTACAGTTACATTAATTTAGAGTATGATGCATATGTGCAAAACTTGGATTAAAACTATTTTTTTCTTTTGGCTGTCACATTTGTAAGCCATATTTGTAGCATTTGCACCAAAGCCTCCGGACATACTTCTCCCAAAAAGAGCTCAACAAAACGTGCACAGATTCTGAAGATACATTTTCAGGAATTGACAGAATTTATGGAAGTTAACTATTGATTTTTTTAGTTGACAAGGTGCACGAGGTGTATTAAAAATGTAATATTCAAGTCGAATGCAGTGAAATAGTTTAGCTCCATCAGTAGCAGCTCATGAGACAATGGTATTGATAACAAAGTACTCCTACTCCCCATTTCTTAAAAAATTGTGTACAAGATTGATGATTATGGTAACAACTAAACAAATTTATGGGTGGAATTATTTCTTAGGTGTATTCCACACACCATTGCTACTTATTCCACACCTCTAATTTCATATTATTAATTAAACATAGTAAATGAAAGTTTTTAAATATTGGCTTAACACAACCAATCAAAATGGATTTTTGCACAAACATTTTTGGGGCATTTTTTCACTTTTAATAAAGCCTTTATCTTTAAGCCACAATGAAAAAAAAATTTCCAGTAAAATACTCAGGGTGGTACAATAGAAATCACATTTTACATGTTAATATAAGAGAGACAACTTTGTGGACTGGAGCATTTAAACCAAATTAAAATGAAACTATAAAAAGCAACAATTAAAATCTGAGACTAAAAGAAGACACCTAGGAATTTTCCGGTAAATATTGCAATACTGAAGAATGATTAACAAATGCAAGAAATGTGAACTTATTTCAAAGAATCTGTAATTTACTACAATTTTACAGAGAAATATCAATTATCCAGTGTGTTTAGTAGAAAAACAACTACTTGCACAAAAAAATTTAATATAGAATTTTAAGAACCATCTGTCTATACTTGGTTCTTAAATAAATTTAAAGAGAACCCTCCACCACACATGCATAAATCCTTTTTTTGTCTCAACCCACCATGGTTGTTATTTTTTTTTTCATAACTGATGGGGAAATGTATTTATGCAATTTTGATGGTTACTGAAATAACCAAATGTATTACCCATGCCAGTTTTTTTAGACCCTGAATCCCTATCACAACTTCTTTAGCGTTAATTGAATTACGAATAAAAGATAGCAGTGAGCTTTCTTGACCAAATCTGATAAACAGAAAGGTTTGCTCTAACATAATGGGATTGTCTTTTGCATTAAAAAAAGGAGCTACAGAATGGATTCCTGTCCTGTCCTAGCTCCAACCAATCCCCACCCCTCTTCTCTTTCTAGCTAACGGAAAACTTTCACATAAAATAATAAGCTCAGTCACTTTGGCAATGTCACAAAGGAATCCGAGACATTGCGTTATAATATAGAAAATGATAAATCATTTGAAGTTCTTCAGACATGTATACTTTTCTCTAATTATATTGATAAAATATATCTATGAAATATGGTTGTTAATAAAAATGTATTTTATATGTGCATATTAAATACTAACTTCTGTGTACTTTTCTTCTCGATTTAGTTGTTACAGGATAGGCACAAAAAAAAAAAAAGAAAAATAATAACAACAATACTTTATTACAACAAAGCAATTCATTACGATTTACTTAGCCTTGTAAAATGAAAGAAATTTGGAAATGACAAATAAGATTAATACTTTTGGAAATGGCAATGTACAAAATTATGACAATATTATGAAGTAACACAGAAAGTTACAAATCATAAGAAATGTCATGAAATCATTCAAACCTATGTACATCAAATATCTCATTCTTACACACACATGGGCACATTTATACACAAATCTCCGATGTTTCCACAGCCTTTCACCTTAAACCAAAGGATAACTAGCTTGAGTTGCAACTCCACAATGATTATCTTTGTTACGAGTCATTTTGATATATCCTCCTTCTCCCCAAGTTGTGCCCCAAGAATTTTTAATGAGCCAGTAGTCAGAACCGTCATCAGTGGTTCCATAACCCACAACCAATACTCCATGATCCAAAGTTTCATTACTGCACTGAGGTTCAAAGTACACACCTAAAATAAAATTAGAAATGATTAATTCACACTACTGAACTTTCCAACTCGACCAGAATGTTAAAACTTAACATTGGAAATAGTTTGAAAAACAATAAATCATTACTTCAAAATTATTAAAGTAATTACTCCTTTTTTGATGCATAACTCAAAAAAATCTATTAATCTGGCCCAAATTACTGCGTGATCTTCCAATGAAGAAAAAAAGTTTTACCTCCTGATATAAATAAAAGATGCCATATTAGAAACCTTACGTACCACTTTGATAAAATTGAAAAGACTCGTGACCTGCATCAATAGCCACAGAGATTGGTCCAATAGTAGCCACAGCCTCCATCAACCTCCTTTCACTACCTCTAGGTACATCCACAAAACCGGAGTCAGTAGCACCAGAAGCAGCAGGTGTATAGCGGCACTGATCATCCTGAAAATTCAAAGCGAAAGTTCACTTATGCATTCTTAGCCGCAAAATCATCCATTTTAAATAAACAATGAAAGGGTATAACTTGACAATTGGTCAAAACCAAAATTAAAAAGCACAAAATTAGCATCTAATGATTCATGTTGTTATACTACCACACCCCAATCTCTTCACACAGATCAGCAAATGGAATAAAAAGAACAAACTTTTCAAGAGACAGTGTCAGGAGTAAAAAGTGTGTAGCTAATTTGATTTTAATTGTCACAACCCTGCCACCTTTTTGGATAGACAGTTATATTAAAAAAATATTCAGCACAGAAAGGTATTCTCAGAAGTAACCTTGATAATGTAAATTAAATGTTATTGACTGATTTAAAATGTTTAAAGAATTATTCATCCTGACCAGGCATCAAACCAAGGCCTCCTGGTTTACATTTAGCTTCTCTAACCACTGAGCAGGAAATTATTGTTAAAGTTATACAAAGGTGACCAAATGGTAACAATTGAAAATTATAAGCAGCAGAGCATATCCATGAAACCTGAAGACTTAAGAAAGTAATTTCTAATTGATAGAGTTGGTAAAAAGTTATCGTGTGCTCCTAATAAATTGAATATATACAAGGAAACAATTCATCATGATGCTTTTGCTTTGTTGAAAACATTAAATTTTTAAGGGGAAATTTAGGAGTCATATAATGATACAATAAATCATGTAATGAAGAAAGCAAAGACTTCAGAATTAAGAACGTCACATTAAAATAAATAAAGAAAATATGGAAGTGATCAAGAGTGTATGGAAGGCCCATCAATAGGCAATTTGGTTCTAAAAGACTGCTTCAAAAGCACAGCTTAAATCCAAAGCCCCCTAATCCCTGACACAAATGACCAAAATGTATAAGATTTGGAAAACAAAAAACAAAAAAAACAAAGGGAAAGAAGGGTTCTACAAACATGTAGTAACTGAAAAAAAGGATTTTAAGAAAAAAATAATACTTGCCTCTGCTTCATATGGGTATGATGCTTCAGTATCGATTCCTCCATTGTCTCTAATATACTGGAAAGCGAAGTCCATCATTCCTCCATTACAACCATCATTTCCATATTTCGCTGAACAATCAATCAAATTCTGTTCACTGAGGGAAGTAAGAACACCTGTTTTTCGGAAGTGTTGTCCTTCAAGAGACCCAGTCTGAAAATCAAAATTATATTTAATGGCATAATGAAACTAATCAATTTGAAATAACAATTCTTAAGGTTTTTACTTACAGCACTAAAGGACCAACATGATCCACAGGAACCTTGATTTTTCACTTCAGTCACAGCCCCCAGATCTCGCCAATCAACTTTATCAGGCAATTCAACATTTGCTGGGCTAATAAATGTAGCTCCAAGAGGCTTGTGGAGATCATAATTCTTCTTATTCTTTGTACGATTGAATCCATTCATCATGTCGGCAAATTCATAATGAAGCTACAAAAGAAAAAAGGCAATTTATGAAATATCATTAAAATTTAAGAATTTTTAAGTTTTCATTTTTGACATTTTCAGGTAACATTGAGAAAATATAATAAACTTTCTCAAAATATTACCATAGAACTTAAACACATCTGGAATAATTACCATGTCTCCATATTCGTTTAAGGCCAACTTGAAACTAACTTCCCCCTGCTCAAACCTAGCATTGTGCTTGGCAATCTTTTTACGATTTTCCATGAATATTTTCATTCGGAATTTTTCTTCCGTACTGCTATCATACTTCTTTTTATGTTGGACCTGCAAAATGATGTTTTGTCGTATTAATTCTAACATGGGCAACAATGGAATTACGGAAAAAAGATATCAAGAGACTTTACAAGCTAGAAACAAATATAATTCTTCGAACCTTAAATGTATTCCATTCTTCAATAACTAAATCAAAAAATGAAACAGCTTGACTAGCACAAACCAATGCTAAAAGAAAAATAATACTCCGCCTGCTCATTGTTCTATTGTGTTGTTACCCTGGAACAAAGAAAACGACACTAGAGATGCTTTCCGGAAGCACCAAGAGAACACGTAATAACCGTTCTGAGATCGAGAGTAGCAAATGAAAAGGCTCTAAATATTGTGCCAACTAGTTACCTTTTTAAACGCACAAAAACAAAGCAGATGTACCAGAAACAAATCACAACTCCGCTGTGCGCACATACAATTCCCAAGAACAGGATCTGTGAACTGAATGCCACGAACAACGTTGAGCCTTTATATATAACCGACGTATGACAAAGCGTCAGACCTTTTGATCAGCTGGCCTCTACTGCGCAGCGAATCGCCCTCACGTGACCTACTCTCTGCACGTGACGCTGTACCAGACGTACACGAGCACACAAAGCTATAGAGGGGGTGGGGGTATCCTTGGTTCGTTGTAGATGTATTCCAGTGCCCAATCATTGGTGCCGTGTGCGTATGACTGAGTTTATGAGTCGTGGACTTATAAAAGTTTATGAGGGGGAAAATATAGGGTGCAGAGGCAACACAAACTAATTATTAAGTTCATGGAAAATAATGTATTTTGTTTTCACCGTGAAGAATGATCGAATAGCAATTCAAATATCTGTGACTCATTTGTTTATTTAACGTCAAGTAAAGAAAATTTTCCATTAACTATTAATTTTAACTTGTCACGAAACTTTCAAGCAAAAATATTTTATGATAATCATTACAACGAATAAAATCGCATCGTATCATGAGCTGAGTGTAGCCTGCGACATTTTAATAAATCTGTAATATGTCACATTCGACCAAAACATTTTGAATTTCTCCTCTCAAAATTCATTTCTGGATCCCCCCACCCTTTATTCTGAATGCAACTAATATTATAACAGTTACAGCAACATAATAATGTTATACTAAAGGAGAGGGGTAGGTCTTAAGGGCTCAAGAATATGTCCGCGTATAAATAACATATATTTTGCCCATAATACTCGTAGTCCAGCCTGACGAATAATTCTTCCTCTATTAACTAGTGGTGCTACAACACATCAGACTTTGTGGCAATATTACAACGTTATCTTTATGTATGACGGGACGCCCATAATGCGACATTTCGAATCGAAATTAAGCAAAAACCCATTAACTTTTACAAAAAAATTGTTCATGACCTATTTTTAACGAGGTAACTGTATACAAAAATCTCCAGTTTTAATTTTGTAGTTTTGCATTTTTGTTGTAATTTTTGGAAAAACGGTCAATACCCAAAAATGAGATTAGCATCATATTTTTTACCACCTTAGTACCTATGTGGAGAAAATTTAAAGAAAAAATTTGGAGTTTTTTGAGAAAATAAAATCGTAAATTTAAAGCTCATATTATGCAAAACTACTCGTTTTTTCCAAAAAAATATACATGACCTATTTTAATGAGCTAATTTTTTACAACAGTCTTTGAATGACGCACAAATTTCTATCTTCAATTTTGTAATGTTATATATATATATATATATATATA